GGAGGTGGACGTACCGATAAGCCTATGTTGAAGGCTGGACGTGCATACCACAAGTACAAGGCCAAGAGAAACAGCTGGCCAAGAGTCAGAGGTGTGGCCATGAATCCCGTTGAGCATCCCCATGGAGGAGGTAACCATCAACATATCGGTCATCCTTCAACCGTCAGGAGAGACGCCAGCGCAGGAAAGAAGGTGAGCGATTCTAGCGACATAGTATTCGGTGTTCACATCTACTGTAAGTTGGAAAAAAGTTCTCAAGCTCTCAGGCCGTTTATGACCCCCCAAAATCACTAAGTTCTCAGTGATTCTTGGATCTTATGTTAAGCACTTTAGGTCGGTCTTATCGCTGCCCGCCGTACTGGAAGAATTCGTGGAGGAAAGCCAGTCAAGATCACCAAGGAAGAAGCTGTTTAAGCTTATTGTTTTTGTTGAATACATTTTTGTTATATATGTGCATGTTGAACATATACAATATTCTGATAATGTATTTGGCTCTCTAAATTTGCAGGAAGTGGGTTGGTCGTATTTTTATTCCGAGGTATAGTCAATGAACAAAAAACGTACATAATCTGCATACCTTAGTGAGGAGGTTTTGATTTGGTGGAAAAAGGACAAAGGCTGGATTGAAAACGTTTTGGTTATTTGATGTATGAATGCTTTTCTTAGTTATGGCGTTAGAGGCGAAAATCTTTCGCTTTATCTTTTGATCAACAGGCGTTCTTTCATTGGAAAGGGCTTGCTATCTCATTTTCATGATTAATTCGACTTGTAAAGGGTACAATTAAAGATGACTACTACACATAGCTTGTAATATGTGAGTATCCCATAAATCATTCAAAGCAGTTTGGAAATTTAAAAACGTTGGACGTTGAAGAATTTAATTGAATCCCCGATGAGAGCAACTTGATGCAGAACTGGATTGACGAGACTCTTTCAAAACTTTTCTTAGATGAATCTAAACCGCTTCTCTATTTACCTATCACCTTGTTCAAGTGTAAAGTAAGTGTAGCACCTTCACTCGCGGATCAAAACGTCCTGAGTAATCGTAAACTTTTACTGACAAGAAAATTTTCAGTCAAAGTGTCTTTCAACAAGCAAATTTTTGGTATTTGCCAAGACATTTGAAAGGATTGACTAACCTAAAAACCACCAGCTGCATGAATCATCGTTTCTCATATGTGTTTTTGCT